AAGAAAACTGTAAACTTGAGTATTGGAGAACACCTTTAAGATATGCCCTCTGTTGCAACACGCAACACAGCCACTTGTGCGATCACGACGATGACACGGCTTAGAGGTGAACATTTTGTTTTTATCCATATATATTTGCTATTTTATGTGGACATTTCCTTATATTCATCCGACATACGCCCAAAGTGGTAATTACTTCTTATAACCGCTGATTTTCCAAAATGAAACCGAAAGTTGTGTCGTTTCATCTAAATGAACCTGACATTCCACGCAGCACAGTGCTATTTGCTTGCTAATGATTCTGGAAGGCCGAACACAGAAGGGCTTACAAGCCATTTTCCTCCCCGTCTTATTACATGTGATTTTCCCATCAACTGCTAGTATCACTGTGTTTTCACTGCGAAGGCTTCAGACTGGCTAACTATTACCGGCTAATGCTTCTCTTGTACGCCGAACAAATGGACGATTCGGTCATTATTGAAAAGGTTAGGGGAACAGTATCAGGTGGCTACTGATGGCACCTGCTAAGAAGCAGAAAGAACTATAATATTTATTCCGTGTTTTGTGAATTACAAACCTGAAAGACACATTTTCTCGTTTGTTGATATAGGTTTGATTTTATATCATTTGTTATTAAATGATAATACCAATTATGCTTATATCATGGAGTTGATAGTCATGGCGGCGCAGGATTTATGGATTTCAAGATCTGTCACTTGTTTTGTTTGTTTGTTTTGCTTAACGCCGCTCTCAGCAATATTCCAGCTAAAGCTACATGACAACAATCATCGAGTCAAGGTCAGACAATCCAGTGATTGACATCATGAGCATTGGTCTACGCAATTGGGATACCATGCGGCTACGAACAAGCCAGCAGCCAGATCACCGATCCCGTTAGTCGTCTCTTACGTTAAGTGTTGCTGAAGATCGTCTCGGCCTGTATTACGAGTAACCGAGGCAGTTTGATAACGGTCTTGACTCAAGACACCAACTATTCTATAATCAATATTAAGTCAATATATACACAACCAAGGGCTATTCAATTGCAGTCAATTTAATTCCTTCACGTCAAGGATCAAAGCATAGTGAATTCTATAAATACCCTTAAAGGCAAGACGTTTAAATTATGCGTGTCCTTTGAAACAGCGTTTCGTGAAATGAAATACAGGTCCGTCGACGGCTTACTTCTATTAACCACTGTCAATGAACTTTTTTGGCACATACCCAGACAGCATTGCAACAGCGACGGTAACGTCGACCGCCGATGTTGTGCTGAGTGTGATCGATGAATTTAATAACGTACGGAATAAGTCATCAATATCAATTAACGAAGAAAACCAAACCAAAACGTGCCTAGTGTTCAATAATGCATCCATTTTATTTATAGAAATCGGTTCAAATCTCATACAGACCAATATTTACGTCAGGGATATTGGCCCAAACCTCCTCAAGGTATCATTCTTTGTTTCGCCTGCACGAAAGACTATGCCACTTCCAAGGACCAATCAGAGAAAGTATTCACATTCCAGCTTTAATACGTCTATTATGTATGATTCCGGAGGAATTTAAAATTCATCTCCAGAGAGTAATTGTCATAAACGTCGACTGAAATGGATCAGGGGATCGCGATCTCTGACCTGGCTGATTGTGAGTCATCTTGACCTGACAGGAGGAGTCGCCGCTCATGCTTTCAGTCACCGGTTTGCTTATTGACAGGATGCAGTGATATAAATGAGTTCTGCTGACTGTTGTTGACTCACTGGAGTGTGAGTGAGTACCTATACCCTATACCCTGCTATCTTCATCTTATATATTATTCGGGGCTGTGGGGTAGCCTAATGGTTAAAGCGTTGGCTCGTCACGCCGAAGACCCGGGTTCGAATCCCCACATGGGTACAATGTATGAAGCCCATTTCTGGTGTTCCCCGCCGTGATGTTGCTGGAATATTGCTAAAAGCAGCGTAAAACCAAACTCAGTCAGTCAGTTATATATTATTCCTCGAATAAGTGAGAGTGTGAGTGAGTACCTATACCCTGCTATCTTCATCTTATATAGTATTCCTCCTAACGAATAAGTGAGTGTGTAAGTGAGTTTAGTTTTACACATCACGCAACAATATTCCAGCTATATGGCGGTGGCCTGTAAATAATCGAGTCTGGACCAGACAATCAAGTGATCAACAGCATGAGCATCGATCTACGTAATTGGGGTACGATGACATATGTCAACGAAGTCAGCAAGTCTGACCACCCGATCAGGTTAGTCGCTTCTTACGACAAGCATGGGTTACTGAAGACGGTTTGACTCACTGGAAGTGAAGCATCCTTTAGCATCAGACTTTTAATCATCATTTGTACCATTACTAAAGCTGGACCCCGTGAAGATCCGGGTTGGACTGGTCTTCATGAACCCATGCTTACCGTAAGAAGCGGCTAACGGGATCGGCTGCACTCGCTGACATGTCCTCGTATCCCAATTGCATAGACCGATACTCATGATGTTGATCACTGGATTGTCTGGTCACGACTCTATTATATAGCTGGAGTATTGCCGAGTGCAGCGTTAGACAAAAATCCAATAAACCATTATTAAAGCTGGACGCATGTAGTGACCGCAGTTTCCCATAGGACAAAGGTGCACGTGGACAGTGTATTGTTTTCAATTTGGCGAACACGTGACATTACTTTGTTTTGGCCAGAACCTTGAAATGTACTCTCACGTTCAACTAAATTAGCAGCCCGAAGCCATATGATACTGGCCCCTCGTAATGCGGAGGAACGCAAAGTCAGCGAATTTCAGTCTACACACGACATATGCATAGCAGTAAGATTTAATAACATCCTTTCATCACCATTTCTGACTGTAGGTAGGAAATAATCTTATATTTACGTCCATCGCCGTCCTAACTTTCCGTACAAATGTCACCTTCATCTTTACCTCATCCTTTTATCTGACAAGCCACATCAAAGTAACTAATTTCATTCATCAGCATGTAGAACACGAATCTTCCTCCAAGAGAATTATGGATGTAGTGATATCCCCTAACGACTATTTTAAACAGGTTTCCCAGTGAGGATACCACGACCTCACGTAATTCTGTCTCCAGTTTACCATTACGTCATTCGCGTAAAGTTTATAACTCAATTATTTCTACGAGAGCCTTGACGATGGTTCCTACTGGCTATAACGTCCTGCTAATTATGCAGACTGCATTCCGGTATTTCTACTATGTGAGGCTCTCCTGAACGCGACCACCAGCCGCGCAGTTTCTTTAATCCTATATACAAGTTTGTTAACCTTTAAATATCGTTAAACCGCTGCTTGCATGCCCACACGCCACCAACGGCGAACGTGGACGTCTACAGCAGCTAAGTAGGTTCCAGCAGCAGCAGTCGGTTTAACTGTAAAACATAGGGTTCAAAACAGCCTTATAAACCAGTTATTTGGAAACTTCCCTATTAGCTTAATTCACGCTTTTTCCAAAGATTACAATATTTTTTTCAACTGTCTTATTTCTTTTATCAACTCTAACATAACCGCATAATTAATAATTGATTTAGAAAATTACTTGTATTAATTGTTCATCTATTTTATACTCGTTTCATTTTCGTTTACGATTAATTAATCCAAAGCTTCTGCATCCCGTTGTAGCACGTGGTGCTGTTAGACCGACTCCTTTCTCTTAAACTGGGTTTGTTTGGTATGCACCATGTTCACCCATATTGCACCAGATGGCGCATGCACAGAATTAGATAAGCAACATGTTCGAAACGCTCACCTCGTGTTATATTATAGATGAATTTGAAAAGTGATTCCTTTCAGGAACCGAGATTTACATCGTAATGCATTTGATAATACGCCTGAAAAATTAGTCTATATATTTAATATATTTAAAAATAAGCCATTTTGAGTTGCATTGTTGCCGAGTTAGTGATAGAACTTCAGCGATAGAGAATAGTCATTCTCGAGTATCCGACGAAATACTTTCCACTTTGCGTAAAAGACAAAATAGCATTGAAACTTATGTAAAAGGGTAACTGAAAAAATGCCTTGTTATGTAAGTCTACTTGAGAATTACGAAAAGATGCATCAAATATCACCGTGAACATGACCATATTGTGTTATATTACATTGTAGATCAATATATTTGACTTCATTATGACATGTGACACACAGACATGTTTTTTCCTTTTCCTGAAACTGCAATATAATCTCATGTTATCAGGAACATTAAGATCTGTAAAGAGACAATTTAACAAATGGTACCAGTCTACAGAGTGGACGATCCTATACTGTGAACCATGGAAACTATGTAACGACCGTTGTGACATTTGGCTTGCCTAATCAATAGAACAAGAGGCAGATGGACCACAAGAGCAGGCAATCAGTGCCAATATATGAGAAACTGGAGGAGGGAATAAATGTGTTGAGGCCTAATTGGTAACCTGACACTGATTGTTATAGGTTTCCTCCGTGATGACATAAAGTTTGTCATACTGGATTGTTCCATACTTGAGTCAGCTCGTTCCCTAGTGTCCACTTTGCGTGTATCGTCATTGTCTGCAGAAGGGTTGTGCTTTTTCGGTTGTGTTGGAGTTTTCTACTTCTTGCAGTGATGGTTTGTGTTTCATGGATTACCATTAATGCGAATGGTAGTTTAAGGAATCGTGTGAATATGAAACGTCCAGAGCAACGGAATACTGTCTCGATTGTTCAAGTAAACAGAATATGTTGGGAGTAAAAGACAAAATATCAGTGAAATTTTGTAAAAGTGGAATTCTGTAAATCAGTTCTGTTCGCGAAAACACTCGTGTGTTATGTCTGTTATATTCAGATACTTCGTATTTATACACAAAATGAACAGCCAAATTTGCTCATGTAAAGATAGTGGATATCTTGATTGGTTTGAAGGTAGAAATACTTAACTGAGCAGTCTGTGATTAAAGAAGAAGACTGTTACAGCTTTTGCTTATTTGTAATTCTTTTCTCTCTGTTTCAGTGCATGCCCTCAACAAAATAGAAGAGCTCCGAGGTCCATCTGTAGATTCCTATGACAAACTAATTGCCTGGTTAGCTGAGATGGCAGAAAATGATAATGTAGAGCTGGACACATCTGTGTTTGTCAAGCATTTGAGTCGCGTGTGTGATGGGTCCAAACCTAACAAGAAGTGTCAACCATTCCGTCAGAACTCAGCGTCATGCGAATCCCATACAAGTCATGCAAGTTCGGGGTCTCAACGTTTCAACAGGTCCACACGGTCTGTGGATGACAATCTGGACCCAAGGTACATTCTCAGGCAGGCTTTCAACAGTCGGCAAGGAACGTTTGCAAGTAGTGAAGATTATGAAGAGTCAGAGGATGTGAGGAATGCATCAATGGAAAGCCTATACAGTGGTTCAGACAGGGACAGTGAGCTGGAGAGTATAGCCACCTGTGATTCTAGTATAAGGAGTGGAAAGCATCCTAAATATTACGATTTCAAGAAACTAGTGGGACCAAGTGGGCGGTGTGCCTACAGCTCCAGTTTAGGAGATCTGGACAGATTGGATAAACAGCCAACGAGTTTGAACCTTGTGCTCAATTCCCGACGGAAAAGCGTCAGCCTCCTCGACTTATCTCCCCCTGATCGAGACAGCTTTGACTATGAAGAACGCCAGGCACCTTCCCCACCACCCGTTACACACAAGGACGACAGCTTCCTGGACGACAAACTGCTCGATGGCAACATCGCAGACATCCTGTTTTCTGTGGAGGCTCTCTGGGGCAAGTGAGGACTACCGGCTCCATTTGTTGGTTTCAGCTTTTGTTGAGCGGTTTTTGCTTCACTGGTCACGTGGTCACGTGCCACGGTGTCTGTCCTGCAATGGAGTGATTGGTGGTTTGCACTTGATACAGTGGGAATTTGTTCCTGCACACACCACGCTTTGCACGTGCAATTTCTACACAAGATGCACTTCCGGCGCAAGGTGAAGGACACACTTCAACGTTTCTCAGAATGTAAGATCTTTGTCAAATATTTTCATCGACATAGTGCAATGTCGAGATCTGTTATTTGGTGCTGCACAATTCAATCTGAGCTAGGCGAACATCTCGACACAATGCACTGATTAGCGTTGAACTGGAAAAGAGGTGAGCAATATAGGGTTTGGTGGCAAGAAAAGAGTGTATGGTTTTGTTGAAAAAAGTGTCGGGTCTTTTGTGAATACAACATAACAGTTTCCACCTGGGAAAAGTTGTATGGGTAAGCCAGGGATGCTTGACTGCCCTGGCCCCTAAGAGACACACAAAACATCGATATATCACCTGTCATTACTCAATCTTTGATATATCAGAATATATCTGTCATGATTGTGTTGTCCATTTTGTTTCCTTGTTTCATAATCCAAAGTTAAGTTTTGGGTTTTTACAACATACACAGGAATACCAATAATCGCAACGTTCTTTGTTTTTTATAGCCGTTGATCCTTTAGAACCATAAATATGGACTTCTTTGAGTGTTCTTTACAATATTCATTAAAGTTTTGCTTCACATAATTTGTTAAAGAAAACCGATTTCGTATGATCGCGGATTTGCTTTTGTCGTTTATATTTATCTTGAACGTTGACAACACTTTATATAACAGAATAAAGTACAAAAAAGTGTCCAATATATTGAATATGAGCAAAAGTCTTTATGCAAATAAGTGTATGTTTTATATATACAGTTTCTTCTAGCTAGTACAGTGGAGATGTTCAATGTCTGTTAGTAGGTATCATTACGTGTTTCTATAAAAGACAAGGGTTTTACCTGAACTTCATGGCGTCCTTTCTACAACTGCACACAGGTGTACAAAGACTATTATAGATGTATTGTTGATTATATAATGTACTCGTGTAGACAGGTGGGTACATGGACTTATATCTACATGTAGGTTTTTTCCAGTTGGCAACTGATAGTTTTGGTAGTATTATTATGTAGAATGGGCAATATAGATATTATATAATTGTTGCAGTGCAATATGCAGTCAATGTATTTAATGTTTTAAGGGACAGTCGAATACGTGCTGAGTAATATTTCCAAAATGTACACCAAGTGACACATATGGGACATTTAAGTTAGTCTTTCTATTTCTTTAAAAAAAAGTAACAATGAGGATTATTCATGTATTTGTCTCCATCATGTCAATTTGGGAAATAGGGAAATAGTGTACACGCTGAGGTATCAAAGCATCTGAAGTTTCATTCGTTTTCAAAGAAAACTGTAAAACATGATTTGAATTGTTAAATAATCATACTGTTTGAAGTATTTAAATGAATAAATCCATTAGAATACAATTGTTTGGAAGGATGATGTCAAAGCGTCGTCTTGCCTTTCACTTTTTTGAGGTTAAGTCACTCTTTAAGTTAACCGTTATTCTTCAGGATACGAACCTTTCTTTCAGAGTAAAGGCTTATTTACAACAGAATTATGAAATAGGAAATTATACAATGTATCTTTGATAAGAAATACGTCTTTTCTTTTCTTTTCTTTTCTTCACTAGAATCTATGTTGTAGCATTGTACTTGTTTAATAAACCATCAGATATATTCACACTAATGATTTGAGTTATGTTTTGCTTACATGCAGGATTGGTATCTTGTGTTGTCATCACTTCTGGAGCTCGCTGTTTCTAGTAGGTCCCTCATCAGGGTTTGGGGCAACAGAACTGAATGAATGTAAATTGTAAGAACTGAAAATACTAACCTTTAACCTCAATCATAACATTACAGCTGTGATTTCAACACCATGGGGGTTGTGAAGCTGATCATTAGATTTATGTAAGAATTCATTTCATGTATTCCGGAAATATACACTCACACTGTAATAAGATGTCGTCCAGGAAACGTCCAGTCACAATTATCTGTCTGAACGATTGCGAATGAGCGTAAAAGGAAAAATAGTGTCGAATATTATATGAAAGGAAAAACGGGAAATCAGTTTGACACCAGGCAGAAAGGCAATTGTCTGTCAGAAGCTCAATAAATCTTGCTGAAGCTGTGGAATATTTCAGTCTATGCCTGAACCTTCACAGAGGGCTGCTGACGGAAGAGAAGAAATGCTCGTCTGTTAAGCGAACAACTGTGACCGTCTATAATAATCCTTGAGTGTACGAGTGTACGCTGCCATGTATGCCTCTTCCATTACGTTTGGACTTTGACTCTTCTACATTTCGATTTCTTTTTGACATCCTAATCGAAGTATTCTGGAGTTGTTTACTGCGCCAAATGTTCCACCCTCTTGATTGCTTTAGCTCCTGTAGGCAGAAATAAGTATGGTTCAAATGACGTTTTTGTCACTTTGTGCTGCAGGCACCGAGAACCATTTACACATGGGTAACACGATGTCAGTCTTTACGTCAATGTCATCTTAAAATCCCACATGGCCAACACGGAGACATTATATTTTTTTTCTAATATTACAACTTCCGCCTCGAAGTACCGTTATTTGAACTATGTTCTGTTTCAGAGTACATCTAGTGTAAATATGTGGATGAGCTAATATCGAAAATGAGTGGGTCCAAACGTTCCGATATCAAGTAGTTTATTCTTTTTAAAGATCATCAACACCAAAATCAGTAATTGTCCAACTGTATATTTATTGCCACTTCTGTCAAAGCATGTTATTAGACTCTAATAGTAGACAAACTGAAAATGCCCTAGTTTATATTGTAAAATTACTTCTACACTCGGGTTACAACATGTCTTCTGTGCCACATGTATATGTTCTGTTAAAGTATTTTCTCATAACTATAATATTTAATTTTTTGATCGAAAGTTAAAACATATTTATGCGTTAAATATGATAAAACTGATGCTCCGGATAACATGGCTATAGACTGTGCATAGTTGAAGACTTAATGCTCTTGATAAGGAGTGTTATTATGGATGGCAGCTTCTTCATTATACAGACGTACGTTTATGTTTCAGGACTATATCATTTTTTCACCTTCATCATGTGATGTACGTTATTTATCTGATGAAGACGAAAGTGGCCGTGAAACGTTGTATGTGATAAAAAGTTATCATCCACAATTATTTTCCTTGTGATGTTGACCTCCGGCTTCTAAATGCCTTTAAAAACTCTCGACGTAATCAGTGTTTTGAGAGGATACGCCCATCCAAAAGTCCATGATAAAGAGATGTAATGTGTATCTTTATCTCTGCCCTGAGGCAGAATGAACAACACACACACACGCGCGCGCGCGCACGCACACATACCAGCTGTTTGCTCTCTATCCAGTACACGCCTCCCGCGTGTCAAGATAAACGCTTCTCCATGTACACAATAGCTCCAGCCTAGACTAACGACTATAATTGATATATGTCTTTCGATACCACTCCGGTAGGAAGACGTGGGACCTGGTAGCGTCTGTTCTCATCCACAACAAAGCGGTATAAGTAGTTTACACGTGCGTTACGTTATCACAGCAGCCTACACACCCTGACACAAGAGCCGTGTTCTGTTATGACATCTTGTTTCTGCAAATGTGTTCCTGTAACGTCAGTTCTCAAGTAGGACTGGCATGAAGCGCCATGCTGAAACACCCTGGACTTCGGCTTTATCTCGCTGATATATAGACTTTGATAACAACGGGCACTTTTATAAACTCTTGGTTATCTAACGTAGGCAAAAGACATGTGAACCCCCCTCTCAAGAATTCCTAGCATCTGAAGTTGGCAATGTACTCTAAAGTCGCCCGCATCTTTAGACTTGTTAATCGGTCTGTACTGGATGGAGGGGTAGGCTAGTGGTTTCAACGTTTCCCATTTGCGCTGAAGTTTCGAGTTCGATTTTCTACATTAGTACAATAGGTGAAGCCTATTTATGTCTTTCTTTGAGATGTCTCAGGTATATTACTAAATGCTACGTAAAAGCTACAAAAAAAACCTGACCCACACGTCCCGTGAAGATCTGGGTTAGAATTGATCGTCAGTAACCCATCCTTGTCGTAAGAGGTAACAAAAGGGATCTGGTGGTCAGGCTCGCTGAATTGACACATATAATCATACCCCAATTGCGTAGATCGATGCTCATACTGTTGATCACAGGATTGTCTGGTCCAGACTCGATTATTCACAGACAGCCGCCATAAAGCTGGAATATTGCTGAGCGCGGAGTAAAACTAGACTCACTCACTCACTGACCCACACACTCACATGCACGTCCACACACCCGTCCACTCACTCATTCACTCACTCAATATTCTCTAAGTCCACTCTGAAAGCGTCTTTCTCATAATCCCAACTACATAACAATGGAAAGATATGTCTTGATAATGTCACAGACGTGCATGTCGGGTCTCAGACTGATTTCTGGGCTTTGGTACAAAGCCGATTTCTTGGCGCTCGCTAATATCAATACCACACTGTGTCTGGCCAGGCTTACAAAGCACGCAGCCAAGACCAAAGAGCTTGGTCAATGGAGAGTGGAAAGGTCCATCAATATTTAGTTAAGTTTCGAGAGTCCTTCGACATAATTGATTACTTAGTGACACAGTGGAGGTGCTTCATTAACTATTAACAGCGACATGTAAACATAATATTCTACAATAGTAAAGATCAGCTGAAGGAAAGTAAATAACGTGTTAAATAATCTTTAGCTCTAACTGACACAAAGACAGCACTTAAATAGGTATGCGTTGATGTTAGCAAGGGTTATTTTCGAAACTGGAAATCATTCATTGACCACCTCAGCTGTGCCAAGAGTGAGTGAGTAAAAGCAATTACCTTGTCGATTAGTGAGTGAGTGAATGAGTTTAGTTTTACCCCCCTTTAGCATTATTCCAGCAATATCACAGTGGGGGACGCCAAAAATTGGCATCACACATTGCACCCGTGCGGAGTCGAACCCGGGTCTTCGGCGTGACGAGCGGACGCTTCATCCACGAAGGCTTAAAATATGGCCAATGGCCAATACCAATATCTTTCCATTGGTATGTACCGCATCAATAGAGAAAGAAACAATCAAGATACAACTGATACAGGCTGATATAAAGAGATTGTAAATTTATGGTTTCCAGCACTATTTCAGGCATCCCCCAATGCATAGCGATTAAAAAAAGGAAATAGGAATCTTGATGAAAATGGGAAGGGAAACATAAGTTTGTTTCTGTTCTTAAAATCAAATATGAAACCGTTATGAAAATGTCCTTTAATTTAGTCTTCAAGGAAGACATATTTATTGGACTTTACCAAATGCTACTTCTCACAAGCATGATCTGTTGACAGAATTTCAATCTTCAGTAGACAATATGCCAATCTTGAACGAAAATATACGATTCGATATATTGTGTTTACACAGATTTGGCAACTCCGATGGGTGTACTTCAGAAGCTCTTCTCCTCAAGAACTCTGTATGGAGCATGTGTTGGCATCTGTGACCTTTGATTGGCTGCCAGCCACCAGACACACGCCACCTGGCGGGTATAGACAGAAATACCGCACACAATACAATATGGCTGTCTGTTTGTTCGCAGGATTCCCGTATCGTGTATTCCTTTCGACAAACAATGGCCTCATGGTGCTGTTGTCGGTGAAACTGGAGACATGTGCTGATGGTCTCAGTCGGAAACGACGGAAACGATATGACCGGTCATGAGAGAAACAGTAAAGCGAGAGGTGACGGTATGTGCGGGGTCGTGGTGGATATTATGAATCAAACTAAGGTTTTCAACGCCTGCGTGTTTGTGCTGATGCTTCACAATATACAGAAACTGATCTAACAACACATTTATTTACCCTGCCGCCTCTGTTTCCAGCTAATATATTTCCCATCCAATCAGTCATTGAAATATATAGTTACTGCATTTGTGGCACGTTTTACCTGTCGAACTGCCTGTTTCTTTCATTCACTCAAGTTCGCTTGTACATCCATTCATATATTCTTGTGGTTTCTTTTTGTCTTCTTTGGTACCTGTGTACTTTTGCTATGTGTGAAACCTTGTAGCTGTGATGGAACGTTACTGATATACCTGGTATAAGACTTAGTTAAACCGAAACTCGTCCACTAAAATGCAGAAAACTTCAACAACAAAAAATGCATTCCTTGACTTGGTTGCTACCCATGTGCTTTTGCAGTGTGTGAAACCCATTATTTGTGAACCCGCATGATACGACTTGAGTAAGACTAGGTAAAACTCAAACTCACTTGCTAATATACAGGTGAGGTGAGGTGATATGGGGTTTAACGTCGTGCTTGAGAATAGTTCGCTCATATGACGACGTGCATGCGTGTGTATGTGTATGTGTGGCTGCTTGTACTAGCCCAGACTTTAAGCTGGTTTTATAGTGCTAGCCCACTGAAATACCATGCCCCAGTGAAGCATGAATACCCCACTCAGACACATTATACTGACTCCGAGCCGACCAGTCCTTGTTGTACCCATTAATGCCGAGCGCCAGGCAGGGACCAACAAGTACCATATTTTAACGTCTTTTGGTATGACGCGGTCGGGGATCGAACCCTCGACATTCCGCTCTCCGGGCGGACGCTCTAACCACTACACCACGGAGGCGGTCTCTAATATACAGGACGTTTCAACAAACATATTCAC